AGGGCTGCATAAACCTAAATGGAAAATCCAGCTGATGGCTGACCCTATGATTTAAAGGTCAGTCAAAGCCTTCTCCTGAGTTTCTAATTCTTTTGCATGTTGCATTATTGTTTTTACCTTACTTCTTACCTTTGGGCTTTGTATATTGCAGATATTTTGTCACTTTATTTTTAAGAATAATTTAAAAGTCAACAACTTTGACATATGTCTAATAATAACTTGCCTTGGCATTTTATAATTAATCTCAAATTAACATAATGTCTATGTTACGTTAAAAACAGCCCTAAGTTAGAAACCCTTCAGAGGCACCTAATTTGGCTGGAATTGCTTGTGCTTTCTGCACAACAAAGCAATGTAATCCTTTTGGCCTTATCAGATTGACTTTCTGCTCATGCCAAGGAGAGTTATTCTCTTTGTCCAAAAGTGACTTTGAAGATTAATAAGTAACAGGATAGGTACACATGTATGTATGAACATTAAAAACTTAAAACATTTTTTCATTTAAAAAGCACTTTAAAGAAAAAATCAGAGATGTCTAACTTGTTCTACATAAATTGTCTTAAAGGAAAGACTTAAATTCTTGTGCCTCTAATTCAGACTTAAGTAAATTTTTGGTGGTCTACAATGGCCTCCCATTGGCAAGAAGTGGGTTTAGGCCTTCTGAGAGACTACAAACACCTAGTGCTTATTTTAGGAGAGAAAAGCCTTGCCAATGCAGTCAGTCACCTGGATTCAGTGCCTGCTGACTTATGTTTAAACATATCTCAGGCCAAACAATTTCAGTTTCAGGCAGTGAGTTCAGAGAAGTTTGGGAAACACCAGCCCCAGGAGACAGAGGCAGGAGTCTGTCCCCCTAACTAGGAATCAGAGTCAAAACTTTGCCCTTGAGTCCTACATCTGCAGTATTCCCTGTACTGGAAACATACATGTGCATGTGTGTCTGTGTGCATTTTTAAAAGATATATACTTTGCCAGGGATTTAGCTCAGTGGTTCTGCCGCCTGCTTGCAAGCTCAAGGTCCCGAGTTTGATCCCTGGTACCAAAAAATAAAAAATAAAAATAAAAAATATATATATTTTTAAGTTTATTTATTTTGTACTCTTGAAAGCCATCAGGACCCTAGTCATAAAAACAGAAACCAGGCTAAGTATTTTAAGCAGAAAGAAATTTAATAAAAGGATTTGTATTTGAGCTGTTTTGGAAGGGCTAGAAAAGGAGAGAAAGGGACCAGGAAGAAGAGCTCTTGTAGTATCTTGAGAGTGTTGCTGGTCAGCCCATGTACTGGTGGATGGCCAATTGCTTTTTCCTTTTCCTTTTTCTTTTTTTAGTTTGCCACACTGGAGATTGAACCCAGGGAATTTTGTTTTATTTTTTTAATTTTTATTTTGAGACAGGATAACACTAACTTGCTAAGTTGTACAGGCTGGACTTGAACTTGAGATCTTCCTGCCTCAACCTCCTGGAGTCCTGGGGTTACAGGCATGCATCACCACATTGGGCTTGGACGGACAGTTTCAAAGCCTCCCACACCTTGGGGCCTATCCCTTTGCAGGGCAGTCGTTGTAAGCCCTGGCTGACTCCTAGAGCTACCAGCCACTGTTATCACTGCTAAGATTGGATCCAGAGCTGCTGACAGGTACAGATCTCCATCACCTCCCTCCTGCCTTCTGATCCCCACTGCTCCTTAAACCCAATCATGTCCTTTTGCAAAGCAGTCTGGGAAATGTAGACTTCCACCCCCTGAGATGCAGAAATGTAGAGGGGCAGGCAGTATCTGGGACAGGCTCTCAGAGTACTTTATTTCTTTTTCTTTTTAAAATTTTATTTAGTTTTTTATTAGTACATGTTTGCCATACACAATGATCACATGCATCACAGAGAACTTGTGCCTGTACATAATATATCTTTTTTTTTTTTTTTTTTAACCAGGGCTTGAACTCGGG